AACTCGTCTTGAGTAGTCGTCAATAAAGGTGACAAACCACCTTTTTCCTCCAAGAGAAGCATTTTTCGTTGGGCCCCATACATCGGTGTGAACGTAGTCAAGGATGTCTTTAGTTCGGTGTATTGATGTGCCGAACTTCACCCTTCTTTGTTTGCCGAAAACACAATGTTCACAAAAGTTGATTTTACCGGACTTGGCCGCTTTAAGCACTCCTTGTTTCACCAAGTTTTGAAGCGGTTTCTCACCAACATGTCCAAGTCGCATGTGCCAAAGTTTCGAGGTGTCGGACTCCTTTGAATTTGCCACAGCTGCTTGTCCGACAATTGTCCTTCCCTTAAGGAAGTATAGGTTTCCTTTCTTGGTCGCTTTGAGCACCACCAATGCACCTCATACAACTTTGAGAATACCATTGTGCACAGAGATGTGATAGCCTTTTGAATCCAAGACTCCGACAGAGATTAGGTTCTTTTTCAAACCAGGCACATAGCGAACGTCCTCGAGCTTTCGGACAGTTCCATCGAACATTTTTAACTGAACTGTGCCGATAACCTCGGTTTGACAAGTGTCGTTGTTGCCCATGTAAACAACACCGCCGTCGATCTTTTGGAATTCCGAGAACATATCTTTATTTGGGCACATGTGATGTGAGCACCCCGAATCTAAGATCCACTCGTCAAGGTTGCTGGCCGTAAGTGACACCGTTAAGGCGTCGTCTGTGTCACTATCTTCTTTTCGGATCAAATTTACTTTGGACTCCTTCTTTTTCATGTTCGGGCAGTCCTTCTTCCAATGTCCCTTTTGTCGGCAATAGGCACACTCGTCTTTGCCAATCCTTTTTCGGTCTACGGATTTGCCCCTTGACTTCGATCGGAACTTCTCTCGGCTATCATTTTTCCGGAAAGTAGACCTTCCTCTAACTGTGAGAGCATCGGAGCCGGAATCTCGATGGACTTGCTTGTCCTTTTTCCGTACCTCGTTATTCATCAAAGAATTACAAACATCATTAAAATTTATCTCAGTTTTGCCATGCAACAAAGTTGTTGTCAAATGTTCGTAAGACTCGGGTAAAGAATTTAATAAAAGTAAGGCTTTATCCTCATCGACTATTTCAACATCGAGATTTTGCAAATCTGTGATAATTTTATTAAAACTATCAAGATGCTCAACCATGGTCGTACCTTTGCAATAATCGAAGCGGAAGAGTTTCTTCTTCAAGTGGAGCTGATTTTCCACGCTCTTTTGCATGTATTTGGCTTCGAGTTTATCCCATAGATCCTTTGCCGAGGTCTCTTTCATGAACGGGTATTTTTGGTCCGTTCCAAGACACGACTCGAATGATCCCACAAGCTTGTCGGTTAAGCTTTGTCCAAGTCGAGTCGGACATATCATCGGGCTTCTTTTCGAGAGTGAGATCCAAGTCCTGCAGAACCAAAAGATCTAGAACTTCACCTTGCCAAATCCCGAAATTGTTTGTTCCGTCAAATTTCAAAACTTCAAGGCCGGAACTGAAAATTTTCGAACCACGAACGGATTTGGAAGCCTCTCCAGTTTCACTTTTGTCTTCTGCCATTTCGGCAAATTCCACCCAAATAATGCTCCAATATTTGTCCAAAGGCTTCAATCAAATACCCACCCCACGTGGATAATTATGGGAATAAGTGAATTGATGACAGTAAGAAAACAATCTTAATTGCTTCAAAAATTCTTTTCCCAGTAGCTTGTTGCGGTGATGAGAGAAACAATTCTTCTACGTTGACTGTGTAAGTGAGGACTCCAGTGATGATTGATCGAAAAAATATTTCAGCAATATTTTCGATTCGTCGAGACAAACGCAACTCCAATCTTGGAAATAATTCCAAGCAAAAACGGATACCCCAAGATATTCAAAACCTTGGAGCTCTGGTACCAATTGTTGCGCAAAGCGGAAGCGAAAACATAAACGAGAACTCTCACACAAATACGAAATCAAACGAGACACGAAATTTACGTGGTTCGGAGAAATAAACTCCTACTCCACGGGTGGCAGCCAAGTATTTCACTCAAATACTACAAGAGGATTACAAAGTGTTTCTCTCAAGAGTTCCTCACAAGTGTCTCTCAATTATTCAAGTTGGATTAGAAAACTAATTACAATGATTACAATTTTCATATTTCAAAATTTTCCAACATCAGGCTATGAAAGGTTGTAAATCAATTTTTTAGTACTAACAAAATCAAATATGTGTCCATCATTCTCTTAATGGACAGATCAACGGAAAATTTACGGAAATGGTCAAAACTGTCAAATTATTGAAAGATGAAGGACCAAATGTATTTTTTGTGAACATCGGGTACCAAATGTGAATCGGTACAACTTGAGGGACAAAAACTGTTACTTTTTCATTTGTTTTTCCTCCCGTTTTGTCAATCTTATATTATATATCTTAAAATCTTCATCTAAAAAAAAGGGTAAATTCCACTTTCCCCCTTGTACTTTGACTCGATATCACTTTACCCCCTTCTACGCTTGATTGCATCGGTTTGCCCCCTACACTTGAAAAAATATCTCAATGTGGTCCTCGACGTTAGTTTTCAAACTTTTGACCTTAACACCGTTTGGTCTAAAGTATCAAAATTACAAAAAAACCACTCCCCCGGTTTAAATAATTATAAAAAATAATAATAAAAATAAATCGTGGTTGCCGTCATGGACTATGCTTTCTCGTTGTCTTGAATTTTTTATTTTTTTAATAATTATTTAAACTGGGAGAGGTGACATTTTTGTAATTTCAGAGCTGAGACCAAATGGTGTTAAGGTCAAATGTCTGACAATTAACAGCGAGGTCCGCATTGAAATAATTTTTCAAGTGCAGGGGGCAAATTGATGTAATCAAGAGTAGAAGGGAGTAAAGTGGTACCGAGCCAAAGTATAAGGGGGGAAATGGAGTTTACCCAAAAAATAATAAAAAGTCTTAACTCTTAAGTTTTAATTATGTCTACTTTTCTTGATCAAATTATTTTCTTTAATAACAGCTCATTATTTGTTTTCCAAAAAATTAAATTCACCCAACCGTCAATAATTGATTTTCTTTTTCATATTCGAATTAAGTCAATTATACTACTCCACTTTGTATGGTTGAAACTTGAGAAAAATATTAAAAGATCTAAAGAATCATTTAAATAGTGGATGATATAAGATTAAGAAATTTATTTTGATTTGATCAATGTTTATTTATAAAAAACTAATCTTGAAATTAGAATTTTAAAATAATAAAATCGATTTGATGGAGGGATGTAAATTCATGTTCACTCAACGGCCCTTAAGATAACGGACCCGGACCTGATGCCACAAGTAGCCAACTTTCATTGGAGTTGAAATTTCCACACTGCATCTGCCAAGATTCGATCCTAGGACCTTGCACCCCGATAAAAGAGTACACGTAGTACAGTTTTATTTATTCACGTGAACATATATATATATATATATATATATATATATATATATATATATATACCAACATGAATTTACTGTTTTCGTGTGAGAATGAATAATGGAATATAATTAAATATAGGCGGCCGTTATATGCAAGCCTATTTTTTTATTAGTTCAAAACCAAATAAAGGAGTTTATTAGTTCAAGCTCGTAAATAATCTAATTTTATTAAATCAAGACCAAAGAAGACAAATATACCCTTATCCACAAATAATACTCAAATACAAATAAATCTTATTTTTAATTTGTTCAAGACCAAAAATCAAAAAAAAAAAAAAAAACAACAAAACAAAAAAGAAATATCACGACTGCCAAATATTAATCTATACTAAATATGTATGAATGAACATTAATCTATGCTTATTTCTTGTTGGGTTGCAATGATTTGGCCGATTTTGGAAAAAAAATTGAGATTGAAATTGGTTTTTTATTTTTTTTCGTTGGTTTCCCAAATTGGTTTATCCAGACCGATTTTGTACACGAAAATCGGCGTCATAATACCGATTTTTGTTAACCGAATCGGCGACACAACGTCGACTTTACAAGTCAAAATCGGCGTTCTAATGTCGATTATTGAGTACAAAATTGGTTTTCGAATACCGATATTTTTTGAATTTTTTTTAAATAATACATTATATATTGGTTAATTGATATTTTTTAAATATTTGAAACGAAAATGTTTATCACCATTCAGTGGCGTCTACCACTCCTTTAACCCAATCGAGTAGAGCTTTCCGTATATCAAATATTTATTCGTTAGATAATTCATTTGAATAATCTTCCATCAATCTCCTAGGTTGATGCACGAAAGTTGAGAAAACGGTCTTAAAAAAACACAGATAATAAAATCGGTATTTAAAAACCGAATTTTGTAGTACATATCGGCATGACAATACCGATAATACAAAAACAAATCGGTGTTCTCATGCCGATTTTTACTACAAAAATCGGTTTTTAAGTACCGATTTTTATTAAAATAATCGGAATGTGGTTACCGACTTTAGTAACAAAAATCGGTATTTGCAGACCGTTTTTTATATCGTCGAATTTTTTTTGCAAAAAAAAAAAAATGACCCAAAAGCAAAAATAAACGGTTAAAACATATCTCATTGTGTTCTCCACCCTCGTAAACCACCATATCATTGTTTTCTAGTTCCATCGTGAATGTTTGGTATGTATTTGATAATCTTGGTGTGTAGGAATTTGTTGGTGGGTTTGTGAAGAAGAAGGGGAAAAAGGAGGAGAGTTTTAAGTCGTGAAATAAGGAAGAGAGGTTTCTGGATTTATGTATTTTATTTGGTCTTGCACAAAGGAAATGTTTATTTTTTATTTTTTAATGCTTTGTATTTTTTATTTGATTTTGAATTTCATTAAGGGTAAATTAGTATTTTTATGTTGGAGTTTTTGAACTAATAAAAAAATAGGCTTCCATATAACTGCCGCCTTAAATATATTCAATGTATTAGCAATATAATAGAGTAATTAACTTAATTACATATGCAATAAGCCAAGCTAAGATCAGGGAATATCAGTACCTAAAAGTAGGTAATTCAGTGTACTCTCCAAAAACATCAATCTCCTCCTCTTCTTCACCGTGGTGCTTCTTACACCGGAAATAAAAAACCGTGTAAACCGTAAAAACAACCACGTTCGACAACGAAAACAAGTTCAAGAACAAACACCCGTAATAAAACGCCACGTCATCCACGGACAACTTATCATTATTATAATAAAACCCCGATAAAACTAGAATCAGCGCCACCAGATTAAGGAACAAGTTGAGCATGAATCCATGGAGGCGCTGGCCCCCCATAACGAGCTTTTCGGCCTTTTTCAAACCCTCCACGCTCGAACTATCTTCTACAACGGACACCACAACCGACAGAGCCGTAACAACCGACGAATACAGCTGGAGAATAAAAGTATTAATCCATAGAGCAATTGCAATAAAATTGTGATGCGCAAGTGCCACGAGAAGTGCTAAAACGACGAAAACCATCGGCAGAGAGTAGGATGAGATGTAGCCGCCTAGGAGGAATATTCTTCTGGAGAAGGGAATATTCTTCCATCTCCGTTCGATGCTCGAGAAGAGATCTTTCGAGGTTAGGGTTCTGTCGGTGTAAGAAAAAGCCGATACTAGGATTGCTGCCGTGCTAAGTAAGTGGGAGATTATGAAGTACGTGAGCATGAAAGAGAGTGCATGTACTGCGGAACCAAGTGCATTATTATATTTCAACACGTGTGGGGATAAGTTAATATTTAGCAAGAAGAGGGTTGAAGGTAAGAGGAGGGAAAGAACGGCGATCGACGCCATTTTCTTCCCGTTTCTCGGGAGGATTTTTAGGGTTTCTTTTATGATTATCAAGAAATCAAAAATTTCAGAGAAATCTTCCATGAGTAGAGGCTCAAATAGTATATACACTATGGTTTAATTATTTTATTGGAATTTGAGGATATCATGTATAGAGATAGAGAGTGTTGTGTGTGTTTATTATACATTTTATTGTTGGGATTTTTTGTCATGAAATTTAAGATGGTCTATCGCGTGGAAAAGTATGTTGCAGGAGAAACTGTACGTAGCTTGTTACTCGGTCAACGTTGGAATGAACACGCTTCTCTCACAAATAATTGACTCAATTCCCAAACATTATTATATATAGAGTAAATTACAGTCATCGGCCCTGATGTAATGTTAAATTATAAAAAAATCTCTCATGTTTGGGTGATTACAATCATCATTAACTATAAATCTTTTTACATGTCCATTTTTATGGTGTTAAATTCAACTTAATTTTCTATATTTTGTGGAATGTTCTCTAGTGTGTACTCGGTTTGTGCAAAATGCAGTTTCTGATGCACCACAATATGATATTTACATAAGCGAGATATATTATGATTTATTTCAAAATGTTCAGCACGAATGGGATAAAACGGTACAAACTGAAGAATATTTCACATAATCTAGAAGATTCCACTAAATTTGATACGGCAAGGCGTTTACGGCTAAAAAGATCCATAGTTGGGTGTGGTTGTAATCAAGGGCGGAACCATAAAATTTGATTAGGGAGACCAGTTTTTTATGAAATGATACAACGAAGAGAGATTAAGTATTTTGGGGGTCGAGGGACATCGTCTCCGATTTTTAGAGTAATTCATAAAAAAATGAAGCAAAAATAAGTAATATTATTTTGTGTAAAATGGTATGATTTTAACAATAATATTTTATATTGTAATAATAAATATGAAAAATATATATATTTGCATAAAAGAATAGAGATAAATCAAAAAAAAATTGAAGGTTCACAACTTATATTTATACAAAATTGAGGGGCCAAAACCTATATCATAAAATATTCCTCAAATTAGATAGCCATAATGGCATGGGTCCGGTTCAAATTATTGACCACTTGGTAAGTTGAATAATAATCTAGTCCACACATTCCTTATCCAAATATTTATTTGTAATAATGTCAAACATTGAAATAGTCTTGTTGCCATTCAATACCAAACATCATTAATTGAGAATAAGCACATTATGTTATGGATTAATTACTGCCACCCCTGATGTAAGGTTCAATTACAAAAAATCTCTTATGTTTGGGTAACTAGCTACGATCATCCCTCAACTATGAATCTTTTTAATTCCAGAAAAAACTATGAATCTTCTTACATATTCATCCTTAGGGTGTCAAATTCAACATAAACTTCTAGATTCCGTCGAATGTTTTCTAGTTTATACTCATTTGGTGCAAAAATGCAGTTTCTGATGCACCACAATCTAATATTTACAAGTCAAGAGATACATATCATCTTGTTTCAAATGTGGACCTCGATTGGGGTAAAACGGGTACAAACTGGAGAATATTCCACATAATCTTGAAAATTCCACTAAATTTGACACCGTAATACCGTTGACGTGTAAGAAGATTCATAGTTGAGGGGTGATTGTAATAACCTAAATATGAGAGTTTTTTTTTGTAATTTAACCTTACCTCAAACAAGGGATCGTAATTTGATCTTATATTATAGATATCCTTCAATGTGCTGAGGTTGTATATTTCAAACAAGAGAAGATTGCCAGAGTTGCAAGATCAAACTCAAAATTTATTAAAAATCGTACAAAAATAAAATATAATAAAACATTAATATAAAGAATTACAATCATTTACAAATATATATATATATGTATATATATATATATATATATGTATATATATATATATGTATATATATATATATATATATATATATATATATATATATATATATGTATATATATATAATATATATCCTCAGGGAATATCATTGCCCAGACTAGTAGGCAATTCACTGTATTGGAAATCTCCAATAATTATTTCTTCACCGTGGAACTTCATACACTGGAAATAATAAACCGTGTACGCCGGGAAAATGAATATCTTGAACAGCGACAAAAAGTTGAGGAAGAACAAACCATACACCTGCAGATTCTGCGACAAACCCCTGTCACCGACAAACATCCAAAAACCCGCAAAAATAATCAGCGACAAAACATTGACGAACAAGGCGAGCATGAACCCATGGAGGCGCTGGCCCCCTTCAACCAGCATCTCAGCTCTCTCCACCTCCGCCTCTCTTGTACCACCGTATTCCAAAACCGAAACCACAGTTGACAGTGCCCAAACAACAGACGAATACAGCTGGAGAGCACTAAACCAAATCCCGACAAGAATAGCGACAGAAATAGTGACGAAATTAGGGATGAACCATGCTAGAAAAAAAGCGAACGCCATCACAACCGACAGATACTGGGTCGATGATGAGTGGTTAGTTCTAGGTTCGCGGAAGGTGGTCGTAAACGGGTTTCTCCATGTTCTTTTTATGCTGGATAAAAGGTCTTTCGTCGCTAAATTGTTCTTGCCTATGGTGTAAGAATTTGCCGACACTAAAATGGTCGCGATTCCGGACAAGTGGGATATTGCGCCGTATATGACTAGGAACACGATTTCGAGTGTTAGAAGCAACGCCCAATATACTAACACGCGCACTACGCTGAGAGATTCCGTATACGAAGCGGTTGCATATGAGATTAACGGTTGGGAGAAGTAAATGAATAGCGAGAAAAGGATTGAAGGTAGGGTTAGGGTTAGTATGGCGATTAAGGCTGTGAGTTTCCCATTTTTCGGGAGGATTTTTAGGGTTTCTTTTAGGATTATCAAGAAACCGAAAATTTCGGAGAATTTTTCCATGGGGATTAAATAAATTAAATATTTAATTATGTGTGTGAAAATAAAATGGTGTGTTATTTTGGGAAGAGTGAGTAGCTGTTATATATATATTTGTGATTTTTTGTATACTTTGAATTTGAAATTTAATTGAAATGGTCAACTTGTGGAAAAAGTCATCTTCACTCGTTTATTTCTGGCGTGCTTCAGCTTCTTGTAGTACTTATCAGTGTTGTTGAATTTATCAACTACCAAATAATAAATACAAGAATATATCTAGTTTATATAGTTAAGAAAATTACGAAAAAACCCCTATTGTTTGGGTGATTACAACTATCCCTCAGTTATGAATATTTTTTACATGTTTACCATTATAGTGTCAAATTCAACATAATTTTCTAGACTATGTGGAATGTTCTTTAGATTGTACTAATTTTGTGCAAAAAAACAATTTTTGATGCACCACGATTTGATATTTACAAGCCAACAGACGCATCTTATGACTATTGTTTCAAAATGTGAAACTCGAATGGGGTAAAACGTGTACAAACTAGAGAATATTCCACACAATTTAGAAGATTTCACTAAATTTAACACTTCAAGGGTGAACGTGTAAGAAAATTCACAGTTGAGAGGGATGGTTGTAATAACTCAAATAGAAGATTTTTTTCGCAATTTGACCTTACCTCAGGAGTGACCGTAATTTACCATGTTATAATATATATGAATAGGATCATTACAAATAAGTCCATCAATGGGTACTTATTCATAAAGAGATCCAGACAAAAAACTATTTTACCAATAAGTCCACACATGGTCCAGATTTTTGTAAAAGACTAAAATAGCCCCTCATACTTTAATATGCTCAAATTTCATCATTAACTTAATTTAACCTCAATTTGACCCCAAATTTCACAAATTATTCAATTTTGACCCAATTTTTTTTTTGCCGCCGTTGACCGACGTTGACTTTTCAAAAAAAAATTTCTTTTTCTTCCGGATTTTTTCGCCGGTTTCCGGCATGGACCGGCGGTCAACGCCGGTCTCCGGCGTTGATTTTTTTTTCTTTTCTTTCTGTAACATTTTTTTCTCGTTTAAACAACAATATTGCCGTGATTGACAGTAATATTAACTATTACTGTTAAACACAGTAAAATTAACTAAACTACAGTTTAACATAGTAATATTGTTATATTAATCTCTAGCACAGTAATATTAACACAACAAAACTCATTATTATTGTGTAATAGAGTAATATTACTATGTTGACCGTTCAACAAATGTAAACATAATAAAAAGCCAAATGAATTAATATTACTGTGAGTGACAGTAATATTACTATAAGAACAGTAATATTACCGTCAACCACAGTAATATTACAATAATAGACAGTAATATTATTACGTTACTCCGTGAATAACTCAAACAAACAAAAAAATCCAAACAAAATAATAATATTGATGTGGTTGACAACAATATTATTATAACAATAGTAATATTACCGTCAACCACATTAATATTATTGTGTTTACAGTAATATTACAATAATAGACAGTAATATTATTACATTACTCCGTGAATAACTCAAACAAAACAAAAAACGCAAAAAAATAATAATATTGATGTTGTTGACAGTAATATTATTGTGTTTACAGTTATTTTACTGTCAACGACAGTAATATAATTACGTTGACTTGTCAACAAATCAAAAAAAATAAATAAAATAATAAAAAAAAATAATATTACGTTAATTTACTGTCAACGACAGAACAGTTACATAAATGTATTATCAACGGCAGTACAATTACGTTAATTAACTGTCATTGACAGTATAATTACGTTAATTTACTGTCAGTGACAGCACAATTACGGTCAACGTTTAGCGGCGGACGTAAAAAAAAAAAAAAAAAAAAAAAAAAGTCAACGCCGGAAACCGGCGAAAAAATCCGGAAGAAAAAAAAATAACAAATTCAACGCCGGAATCCGGCGGCAAAAAAAAACTGAAAAAAAATAAAGTTTTTGAAAAAAAAAAAAAGTCAAAATTGAATTTTTGTGGTCAAAATTGGATTTTGTGGACAAAATTGATTAAATTGGGGTTACAATTAAGAATTGAGTATAAAGGGTTGGGGATAATATTGGCATATACATGAATGTTTCCTTTATTTATAATAAATAGTAAAGGGATGTGCTTATTGGTGAAAGAGATATAGGCCCTAAACCTAGAATAATAAAGATGCTTGGTTGAGAACTTATGCACAAAAACCTTATATGAATAAAGTTTAAGAAAAAAGATATATATATATATATAATATGAGTTTGCGTTTGAAGTAGTTTATGAGTTATAAGGACAAAACTGGAAATGGATTAGTTGGTGTATGTATCATTGAAAACATAAAAAACAATAATTAAATTGAATGGATAAAGCATAATATATATTTCGAGCTATTAACACAGACCCTTCTATGTGATTTTTTATGGGGTAATTGGCACTTTGCACTCTTAAATTACATGACATTGGCACTTTGCACCCTTAAATTGAACAAATGGTAGAATGCACCCTTCAATTACATTTTGCTTGGCACTTTGCACCCTAATTCATTTTTTAGCTAGAAAAGTGACATTTTACCTATTGAAGATGGGTGGATTTTTCTTTCTTTATTTCTCACAAACTTAAATATATATCATCTTCTTTATTTCACATATCCAAACCCGACCAAGAACAACTAATGTTCATTGTTCTCTATCAAGAGTCTGAAGATACTTTACTCTAATTTTTAATAAATTTATATTTTATTTATTCTAGAATAAATAAGTATTCAATTAAAAGCAAGCATTCAAAAATAATGTTTGTTAATATGTTATATGCAAATAAAGGTCATGCAATCTGCAATTCCATAAATTTTCACCACTCCGATAGTATTTTCAACAGATAATAAAACTTAATTTTTCTTGTTCATATGGGCTTAAAAGGAGAATTATGTATATATTACGGTTATTTTTGTAAAAAAAATTGTTTACTGTTATTGTTTTCGTTACATAAATTAGTTAAAACATCAAATGCCATGAGGGTTTTAGTAAAATCCAAGAAACGCATGTAAAGACCACGAAGAAGATTTTGAGCTAGACAAGAAAGCACACAATCTGGTGTGAATGTGTGAAAATATTTGCTAATTCTTGCAAAGCGAGTTCCCCTTTCCTACAATTACGAGCATAGCTTTTGCGTTTAGTAGACATCTTGGTTCTATTTTGCATTAACATTTTTTTTCCCTAAAATTAAGAGAAACATCAAAATGACAAATGGAATAATCAAAACACACTGTAATTACTATCCTAAAAAAAATCAATTTTTATATTTAATATTATGGAGTAGATATTTAACTAAAGAGACAAGAGAAAATCCATAAATGAATATTCTAATGTTTGGTTTATCTCATTGGCACAAAGAGATGGTTGAATTAGTTGTTGGATTGATGTAATTGACATTAATCTCGTATTTGTCTAAGAAACCATAAAAAATAAAAATAAAAAATCTGCTGCCCCTTTTCAAATTTCACATAACAGGTAGCAGGTCACTTTTCTAGCCAAAAATGAATTAGGGTGCAAAGTGCCAAGCAAAATATAATTGAAGGGTGCATTCTGCCATTGTTTTAATTTAAGGGTGCAAAGTGCCAATGACATGTAATTTAAGGGTGCAAAGTGTCAATTACCCATTTTTTATGAGCTAATAGCAAAGAACCCCTGTGTAATTTCAAATTGCCAAAAAAACTCTTATGTTAAAAAAATTAGCAAATAATCTCATATGTTGTGTTTTGTATAGCATACTGCCCATTATACGAGATTTTGCGATTGATTTAACTGAAAAGACAAAATTACAACTACCTTAAAATAGAATAAAGTGCCTCCCAAACTTAAAATTGTGAATGAAAAGTCAAACCCCAATCCATCTTCCTCTCTCTCAGGGGCGTACCCACGCCTAAGGCTGGGGTGGCCCCCGCCCCCCCAAGAATTTTTTTTTAAGCTGTTTTTTTTTTTTTTTTTTTTTTTTTGGGTATTTATGTATTAGTTTATACACTTTCGCCCCCCAAACTTTTAATTTTGTACATTTTAGTCCCTAAAAACAAAAACAAAAATTCTCTCTTAATTTACCCCTATATTTCCGCCCCCCCAAGAAAACACCCCTGGGTCCGCCCCTGCTCTCTCTCACACTATTACACGTGGCCGGTTCACGCTCACCATTGATACAAACTAGAGTCACCTGGAAAAGAACAAAAAGATATATATAATAACAAAAAAAAAAATTAAAAAAGAAAAAGGCACAACATAAACCACAATACTGGAAGAGAACGAGGTATCATATTAATAGATAGTATCTGACTTGGTCATTGAGAGTTGGAAGGACTCTCACATTAGGTTTAAATTCAGTCATTAAAGCCTGAAGCATCCCCAATGGCCATTCCTTGGTCATGAGATAAATTGCTTAGGGTTACGGCGCGATTGAGGATTTGGTGAGATCGGCGGAGATACAACGGAGTGGAGGGTCGTTGACAGCGCCGTAGTGTGACGAGGCGGGGCGGCGGTGCCCGGGTGGTAAGGAGAGCTTAGGTCTGATGGAGAAGAGGGCTTATCCGAAAGTGCCATGTTAGTGAATTGAAAATTTTAAAAACTTCATTTTGGTGCTTATAAAAAATTCGGGGTGATTTTGTAATTCTTGAAATTATGATAAAGGGTATTTAAGTATTTTTAGGTCAAAATAACGCACCTCCAGTTGCACAATCCGCGCGTGCAGTGCACAATTCGCTGTCAGGGGGCTTAACGCCTTTGAATAACTTTCATAGGGGGGTTTTTGCTAATTTTTTTAACATGAGGACTTTTTCGACAATTAAAGATTACACAAGGGAGGTTCTTGCAAAAAACCCGATTTTTAATTGTCGAAAAAATCCCTTTGTTAAAATAATTAGCAAAGAATTTTCTTATGTTGTGTTTTATTCAGCCCACCGCTCCTTAAATGTACTTGTTGACTTAATTTAAATGACAAAACTACCCTATTGAATCTAATAATATTTCAATTTATAAAAATAAAGTACACTAAAACTTTATTAGAAGATATGAAAAAGAAAAAAGAAAAAAGAAAAAGAAGAAAGAAGAGTTGTTACTTGTTAGTTACGTTGTCCTCCCCGTACTGAAATGGGTTCCAGATTAACTCCTCGACAACGGCAATTACGAAAATCCGTAAATCAAAATGGAAGATGGTTTTGGAATTTCTCACCAAATGTTGGGACCCTTTTGTGGCCATGGCCGGATAGGGTCGACGGAAAGGAAAGCCTTCATCTTCAGGTTGAAGAGGGCTTTTCAAAAAATATCAGGAACTGGATTGGAAAATTAAAATTTTCATTTTGGGCCTTACAGAATTTTGAGATAAATCTGTAATTTTTGAATCTTAAATTTAAAGGGTACTTGAGTCTTTTCAGGTCAAAAACTCACCCCCATTCGCATAGATGGCGAGTGTACTGCACGATCAGCTCGTAGTCCTTTTTAGCTTTGACTGACTTTCATATGGGGTCCTTCCTATTTTTTTTTTTAATACGAGGGCTTTTGCGACGATTAGAGATTACATTGGGGTGGCTAGTGCTAAAACCTCTATATATTTGTATACATGTACATTGTTTTGCAAGGTGCAACTCTAAGGTGGAATTGAGTGCAACTCTAAGGTGGAATTGATTGTTGACAGTTTAGTAGAGGGGTGGAAATTGTATTTGGCCGTATATATATACAAATGTTGTAATACTACCGTAACACAACACGGAACGCAATTTGTTATAGCTCCCAAGCTTTAACAAAATGTTTGTCAACATGTGTCGTCCCTGTATTTTCACAACATACTATGTGTGTTGTTAAATGGTCTTTTTTTTTGCAACGCAACATCAATACATCAATTTGAAATTGGTAATTTATTTAAAATTCTAATGTCATTTATATATATATATATATATATATATATATATATATATATATATGTATATATATATATATATATATATATATATATATATATATATATATATATATATATATATATATATATATATATATATATATATATATATATATATATATATATATATATATATATATATATATATACCAGACCTCCCAAGTTGAAAAACTTTTGCTGCCCTTTAAACCCTGCAAAATTGTAATCGAAAATCGGATAGTCACTTAATCGATAAATATGGCATGCAAATATATATTCATTTATAAATAAATACAAAGATTTTTTTTTTTTTAAGTTTGGATAATCGTACCGGTTGTATTCAATTAGGATCCTTCCGGCATTAGGGTCGGCAATCATGGAGAAAGCTTCTTGGGAGAGATCGAGCTGGTCGACCCCACATCCAGGGCAGAGATCCACTATTCTCACCGTGATTTCACCGTTGCGGCAGGGTGCAAGTACACCGGCGTTGGTGCGTCCGGTGCACCGCACCCTGTAACTTGTTCCGCATGCGGCCCCGTTATTGTACAGACTAGGGTTAGCTGCTGCTATCATCGTCCCTTGGTCTTGAAACCCGAAGCATGCCGATGCTGCAATAAATTATAAATTAATTAATATATATATATATATATATATATATATATATATATATATATATATATATATATATATATATATTGATATGCCTAATTGGGCCAACCCAATGGGCCTACAATTTCTTTACCTACTGGGCTACGAGCCCAATATCGAAGACCAATATCACCGAGGCCCAAACACCTTCAAGTAAGGCTTGGGCCCAACAAAGCAAACCCAACCCAATAAACGACATATAAATAGAGGTTTTACTCATTTTATTAAGGTACGTCCTATTAACTGAGCAATACTATTAACCGTATTCGCTGGACTATTTCCACTATCAGCATGTCTGACTTGAGCGTCGGAGGGGTTTCCGCCGGATCAACCCCCGGCCTAGTTCACGTGTTCTATGATCGCAGGTACCTCAGGATCATCAAGTTGTCAAGCTACTGATCCGCTTTGCTCTCCCAGTTCATTTTCTACACTACCCCAGGTGATCTAAACTTTAGCATCATCAT